TTGTTTGAAAAAACAAATATACGCGATTTAAATCCGGAAAAATAGTTTCATTTCCTATGTGTAACAATCGCGAAAACTTAAGAACTCGACAAGTACTTTAGTTACTCACTTTGGGATCAAAGGGACATATGTGATGTTGACTAATATTTACATGACACGTTCTAATTACGATGGAATTATTGTTGGCCCGAGAAATATCTGTGAAATTTCTTCCTTAGATCACTTATTTTCATATCTACACCTATATTTACATCATTAACCATGTAGTTACTAAGTTGGCGACGTAAGAAATTTTTTTTTCGAAAAGTTCGAAAAGCCCTTTGAAGTCTCAAAACCTCATTCCTCTGGCGAGTCGCAACTCCGTAATGAAATAGAAAAACTTGTTTAAAAGCTGAATTACCAAGCATCAATTAGAGTGTGTTATTAGTTGTCTTACTATTATAAAGTCAAGAAATGAGCCCTTGTGTATAAGGAAATACATTCTGCTTGTTGCTTATTTTACTCCAAGATCATTTAAATACTTTTGTCGCTGCAATTTGTTATATAGTATAATAGGTCCCTGGAAAAAATGTGACTAAAATTGTCACAAATAGTACTATTTTCGTGCAATTTTGCTATTCCGACCGATTGTAGCACGTCGTGAAGTTCGCATCAAACACGGCACGTGTTCAGTTTGACAGTACGGTGCCCCAAACGTAAGAGATTGTCAAGGTAGTAAAGCTTTCACTTCCCTGGTGAATGATTTCGACAATAACCAACCTCAGATGGTTGGTATTTTTAGTATAGACATCAAACTTTTGTGCCAAAACTATTAGAGAGTAGATAAAGCGGTGGATTATCATGGTCTAACAGATTAACAGTTGTAATCTCAGTCCTCTGTATGTCAGTCTCCTATACACGTACGTGGTAGGTGACTAAAACCATCAAGATTTTAGGAAAATGTGATCCCGTTCAAACTGACTAAAAAGTATTTTATAAATAATAAGTTGTCGTTTTAGCTAAGTACTTTTGTACCTATACATAAACGTTATTAAAGTAATTAATTCGGACTGAACAATTAATGTACAACAGATTTTGTATGTACTGCTTAATTAAAACTGCAAAATCAACGATGTTTTTGTGGTGTCTTTCGTTTTGTATACAGTCTCTGGCTATTTTATCTGTTCCTTGACCACTTTAAAAAAAAATTTTTTTTACTGTCCCTCTTAATAATACATTACGAACATCTTTACAAACATACAAGGATAATTTACGAACTAGAATAGGGAAAAAAATGATGGGCCAGAATTTTGTCAAAATACTTCCATCGTGATTAGAACTACCCATATATTTATTTATACGTAAAAAGAATAATGTTAATATAGTAATAAAATTGCATTATTTACGTTTATTAGCTTTTTTACAATGTTGATCGTAAGTACTGTTAATGGCATCAATTTTACAACATTAACATTTTACAGTTTGTTACGTACGGATTTTTATGCGCATATAAAAACGTCTTCCTTAATATTTGATGGCAGGTTTTTTAAAGACTGGTGCTAAGGGGTCGGCGCAGGGTAACTTTGGGCTGATGGACCTTGTTGCGGGGCTTCACTGGCTCCGGGAGAACCTACCTGCATTCGGCGGAGACCCGGAGAGGGTCACTGTCATGGGACACGGGACGGGTGCCGCGCTGGCCAACTTTCTTGCTGTGTCTCCTGTGGCTAGAGGTAATTACAAAAGATTTAAAAAAAGGTCAGGTAAGATAATAGGAACACCGGGAGAAGAGGGACTAAAAGCTTCAACTCATAATCGAAAGAGTTCATTATTGTCTCTCAGCCGATAAACAGACAACCAAATTAGTTTCAACGATTTTACAGAGATGTCGCTACGATGTTCCAAATCCAAAAGACGGAAAAAAATTAAATTAAGAAAAGTACCCGTGTTATACGAGGTATTTATTTCCTTTATTAGAAATACGATGACTATTCCTCTTAATCATCTTTTGGAGGAAGGGCAACGATAGCACAATTTGCACATTTCGGCAAATACATCGTAAGTATTGAATTTAGCGTAATGATTATTCAAATATGTAAAGCTGATAAACAAACGCAAGTTTAGTGTACTTCAAAATTCTTATAAAACTTTATCTAGTCTTCTTAGAGCTCAAAACATTTGCCTCAGAATAAAGTATATGGGGTTAGATACCTTAGGGGCTAGATATCTGAAAATATATGTTTAACGTTAATCTGCTATGAATTTGTTTTCAATTTATTTTATGACAAAAAATTTGGGTAGATCTGTATCAAAATAACGTGATAAATGACATAGATTAATAATGCTGCCCTCAAAATAAAAAGATAATCGTACATTCATACGTTACGCGGGTTAGAACCAAGACCAGGGTGATTGACGGCCTGTAACCTTCAGACGGCAGACCCGATATGACGTATAGACCAGTCATTGCGTGTAATTAGCCCGTCCACGGTAGATTTCATTATTCGCATCATCCCGTTTTGGTCCTCTGTCACTTAATACGATTAAAAGGGTCACCAACGTAATTTAAAATAAGGTCAACCTCGTGCCCCAAAACGTTAAATCCTTATATTATAAAAACGGAGGGTTACAGAAAAACAAACATTTTTCTTTCCTGGAGATTACGACGGGCGATTTCTCGAAATGAGAAAATTAAATTAGGTTACTTGTTTCAGAACTACTCAAGCGTGTCATCTTGTTAAGCGGTTCGGGACTCAGCTCGTGGGCGCTGCAGCGGGAACCTCTTACGGTGAAGAGAAAGGTATGGACGTGCTTAGACTTACGAAATACATACAATACTGGCAATACTGTTAGTAATATTTGTTTACGATAAAAAAACTGGTGCATTGGGTACTATAACTGTAGACAGATAAATAAAACAACTACAATGCACTACTTAATATGTCATAGAATTTGCAGTGTGCAGCTATAAATAAGGAAAATTACAAAACCATGTTGGGGAAGCAGGGTTTAGTGCAAAAAGAAGTGATTTAATAATTGAATTACAATATTAGAATTTTGGTGTTCGTTTCTTTTTTATTACTGGAATTTTGGTGTTCATTGCTCAACATTTAGAGAAATTCTAGTTTAGGTTTTTTTTAGTAATAATTATAATGCCTCGTAAAGGCGCTTTGCACATGCAGCATTGAATGTTACAGTTATGTTGTTAAGTCCACAAACATGTATACACTTTTTGAATTACGAATGTGCATAGCGGGGTTTTAATAGTATTGAAAGAGTTTTGTTGATTATTTTAAATATCACTCGCGCACACTGGTCTTCTAAAGTTTTTGAACTCGTTACGACAGGTTTAGGTAGCGGGAGAGGGCGGAAGGGAGGATAGTGTTGCCAGAATGCAAAATGAATGCGTTTGAGTCGCGTCGTACGACGAAAAATTAATTAAAATAAATAAATATAGAGGGACCTGAAATGCTGAATAATAGATGTAGTTCATGAAGTACACGAAGTCAGGTTACGGTTCGTTGGGTTGCCATCTCATATTAGGTTGGTTGTGCAGTGAGTCACTTGGGATGTGTTTTTAATAAAATCAAGTGACGGGACGGACAAGTCATGCGCCTGATGGTAAGCAATACGCCTGTCCATAACAGTTGCAATACCACTCAGAGGTTCGCAAAGATCTGAGGAGCACTGACACTGCGCCTGTCATCCTGAGACATTATTAACAAATCCCATGTGCCTGTAATTTCACCAGCACCCTTACCCATCACAACTGGAACACAGTAATGCTGACATTACTGCTTGGCGGCAGAAATAGGTAAGCAGGACGTCGCAATATCCTCTGGTCAGGTAACATTCTTAGATAGTCTACTTATTCATTCATGGTGCAAAAAGAAGAGAATTAATAATTGAATTACAATGTAAAGAATCTTCCGCCTACTCAACATATCTATCAATACGCAATCCAGTGACCTACTAAAGACGTCACGTTGCATCAACACGTTACATTAACACATTTCTTATTGGTAAATACTAATTACTATGTGTTCATTACAGTTAGCGTCGATTACTGGTTAGTTAATTAGATTTTTGGTGTTCATTACTGGATAACTTCTGGTTTAGATATTTTCTTGGTAATAACTATGATAGTTTTTTTTATGAAACATACTACAACGTAATCGTTCTTGAGGATTATATATATATATTTTTTTCTTTATTTGTTTAGGAACTTTTATACAATGAATATGCCAGTTCCATCGTACCCTAACCTATAGCTTACATGTGTGGGCAGCGCTGTTGGAGAGCCGATTCAACAAATAGTAATAGTGTTTTTGCCTGTTTCGTGTGGGGATAGCTCAATATGGAATTTATAGCACCTAAGGATGTTCGGTTGATCTGCAGGTCTCTCATCAACGCCCCCCTCTGTTGTTCGTACCGGACACATTCCAGTAACAAATGATACGCATCTTCCAATACTCCACATAACTCGCTATTGGGAGATTTTTTTTTCATTAAGAATGGCAAGTGTCCGGTTCTCATCCTTAGTGCGATGACAACTATTTTTCTACCATAGTCGCACTCTGCAAACTAAGGTATACTAGGCGGCTGACACTAATTTGTGCGATACCAGATAAGTTTTTCCCTTGATCTGATATCAAAATATTCATTCTGAGTAACCTGGTAATATATTCACCACTTGCCCTTCTGCTATTCCACGCTTAGCTAGGATGTCAGCCTCATCATTCCCCTTTAGTCCAGTGTGCGATGGTACCCACAGCAACTTCAGTTGTATATTTCGGGTTACAAGTTCTTGTGTTTTAGCTATGACCGTATATGCAACTGGTGTACGTACTTTGGTTTAGCTTTTGAACTTTCTCAGCCTGTATACAACCAAGATGTGATCATTAACGATATTTATTATCAAGAGCATGGTACCTTTTGTAACAACAGTATGGGTAATATTGAACTAAGCCAGGAGAAAATATTGAAAATATTAAAGAAACTTAACATTCATAAGGGTCCGGGATACGATGGTATTCCTGCTATCTTTTTCTTGAAGTGTGCAGAGGAACTGTGTGAGCCACTGACATTGTTATTTAACAGGTCACTTAAGTCAGGCGTTTTCCCTTCTGTCTGGAAAACCGCTCATATCGTGCCTCTTCACAAGTCCGGAAGTAAGTCCAGTTGTGAAAATTATAGACCTATTAGTATTCTATGTTGTGTTGCCAAGGTGTTCGAATCAGCATTGTATGATTATTTTTACTCTCAAGTAAAGCCATTTATTTCTAATAAACAACACGGATTCGTGGGGGGGCGATCTACTGTAACTAATCTGTTAGAGTATAAGGATTACTTATGTGAGGTCTTTGCGGTTGGTGGGCAAGTCGACGCCGTGTACACGGACTTTTCAAAAGCGTTCGACAAAGTGAATCACTCATTACTCTGTAAAAAGTTAGCTGTGTTCGGTATTCATGGTAGTCTTTTACGCTGGGTCCATTCTTACTTGAACAATAGAAGCCAACTTGTTGCTCTCAAAGGTTTTAAGTCATCACCAGTTATAATAAAGTCAGGTGTGCCTCAAGGTTCACATCTCGGCCCGTTGTTCTTCATAATTTATATAAATGATCTCATTGGTGAACTGTCCAGCCCTTGTCTACTTTATGCTGACGACTTAAAAATATATCGCGTCATAAGTGAACCGTCCGACTGCTGTAAATTGCAGAGTGATATTAACACAGTTTCGGAATGGTGCCAACAAAATTTTATGCTCCTCAATGCTAAGAAGTGCTTTGTTATAACTCTTACTAATAAACGTTATAAACATACTTACGAATATCGACTTAACGAACAGTCATTGGATAGAAAAACAGTAGCTAAGGACCTCGGTGTGTTGTTCGACTCTAAATTAACGTTTCGTGAACACTATGCGTACGTTAAGAGCAGGGCACTTCAATCATTGGGCTTTGTAACAAGGTGTACCAAGGGTTTCAAGCAGCCTCAAAGTTTCCTAACCGTCTATTATAGCCTTGTCCGTAGCATTCTGGAGTACGCTTGTGTTGTCTGGTCGCCCTGCTACTCAGTTCACTCCAATAGTATAGAAAGCGTTCAGAGAAGAGCTCTCAGGATCCTTAGTTATAAGTGCGGTTATGGTCGCAGCCTCGTTGGCTATAGTGATAAATGTGTCAAATTTAAAGTAACCTCCTTGCTTGTTCGCCGTAAGAGACAGGACCTCATATACTTGCATAAGATTGTTCATGGCAAAATTGACTGTTCTTACCTTTTAAATAAAGTAAATATTTGCACAAGGCGTAATCTCCGAATACCTGACAGAACATTTCACTTGCAAACGTACAAGAATAACACTTCCTTTTATAGTCCCCTGATGAGAATGTTTCGGCTTTACAATGAGATATCTATGAAAAACTCGTCTCTGGATGTTTTTGACTCAAGGTCCAGAATATTCAAGTGCGTAGTGAATCGTTTGGCACTATCATAGGTATTTATTCACGTTGCTTTTGTATTCATATTTAGTAAATAAGTATATAAATTAAGTAAGAAATATATCAGTTGATCAGGATCAGTAGATCTTTTTTTTGTTTTGTTATTTTGCAATGATGTGTCGACATAAGTAGGATTGCAATCTGGTACAGAAATTTGTAATATATTTAAGTTTTATCAATGTAATTTGATTGTAATCTGTTTTGTTGTCCATATAATAATAAATAAATAAATAAATAAATGGTGTACATCGATGTCCGTGAACACAGCGAACAAGATGTAGAGCACTCTTGCTATAAGTGCAAATAACAATTTTATTAATAGTGGTATTCATTACGTATGTCAGAGCTTCTAATATAGCAATGAGTTCTATTGACATGATGTGTATTATGGGCGAAGTTTTAAAACAGTTACAACGTCACAATGTGCCCTCTCTTTCGTTTGATGGAATGTAGAATGCTGCACCTCCTCCATTAGAACTTTTTGCTGCATCTGTATAAATGACGTGTGATTCTAGATACTATTTTTGTAATTCTGTTTGAATGCGAAATCTGATAGTATTTAAATCTAAATCTTTCTTTTTATTTATAATTGACTCTAACTCTAGCACGAGAATTATATCTGTCAAGTAAACTAATCATTAATTGATATATTTATGTTTAAAAACAAAAAGCTTAGTTTAAATTAGACATACTTCCTACCTAGATACACCCTAACTAGATTCTGCGCTAAATACGTAATTGCTTGGTTAGGTTTTCAGCTAATGTAAAATTTAATTCGGTTATCTTGTTTTACCAGGTTTCGAATATGTGGAATTCGTACCTTTCCCTTTATAACATTATGGTTGGTTTGGAAATGTTTGTACCAAAATTCTGTCAAATGTAAAGTCTACTCATCCAGTGAAGTACTATCTACCTTACCTACATATTTCTGTCGCCATGTGAGCATTATTGCGTTCCGATTTTGATGGGGCAAAGATGCTGGTGAAATTACAGGCACAATTTTACAATTTATATTTCAGGTGACGGGTGCAGTTGCAGTGTCACTCAGATCTTTGTCATTTGTAGCTTTGAGTGGCACATCTAATGGTATGGACAGGGCGTGTCGCTTACCACCAGGCGCACGAATTGTTCGTCCCGTCACTTGGCATCATAAAAAAATCAATATCGCTCTTGAAACCAAATACCGTCGTACTATTGGTGGAATTGAGTAAACACGATTAGAAAGTTAAAAATAAATACTGGAAACTTTCGTTCAGTGTTGCGAATAATTTGATTACTTTTATTTGTACGTAATATTTTGATA